AGGGTAGGCCTTCCCCAAAGGGAACATAAGCCAGAGGACAGGAGTCTGATTTTTCTTTCTCCATGAGGTGAGTCATGCCCACAAACATTAACATATATTTTGACCTAGTTGATAACAGGACTCCTGTCCCAGGCACAATATATTTGTTATTGATGAGTCATGCCCATAAGCATTAACAGACCATTTGACTCATTGATAACAAGACTGTCCCTCCATCTTGTCCTTGGGTATACAAGCCCCCGTATCTCTGTTAAAGTATAGTCTTTGCTGATGCTTTCCTGAAACACAGACCTTCCTTTCTGATCACCAACCTAAGAACTGTAAAACCCACCTATGGCCTACAAGTTCCACCTTCCACTTCCAGATATCCTGCCTTTTTGGGCCTGATCAATGAAAAAACTATTTTTACTAAATTCCAAACCTTGTTTCTCACTCTCAAAACTAAATAAAAAGAAACCCTGCATCCAATCCCCCCTCCAGAAAAGGAATAATTGCCTCTTATCTGGGCCTAGTCATACATATTTGTGTTTAGAAGTAAACTACATTATTATTTCTGCAGAGTTGGTTCTTTCTGATGACAAGCCCAAGGGAAACAACTCAGTGTCAAACAAGATAGGAGTTTTCCAGATCTTGCCAAACTTATCTCTTGTGAATAATGTCACTGTAGCTGTCACACCTCCCCTACTTGGGATCCTGGTGGCCAAAGTAAGCGTGGAGATAAACTTCACCTATTCCTGCCCTGTGTGATCACATTACTTCCAGAGAGATTTTGTGTTCTTGTATGATTAAATCAGTACTCTTATCTAACCTTATGGTGGAGTGTGTGTATGTGGGCTGTCCCACCAATCTGGAGCAGACTGGGAATGCTGCACAAATTTTTTCCAAAAAAAGAAAGGGAGGCTAAGATAAAGGAGAGAAGATAGAGGGCCAGTGGAACCTCCTTCACTCCTCCCTATTGCATTGTTTCTGGAAGGGTGAGGCATGCCCACAGGAGTGAGGGATGGTGAAGTTAGGAGAGCCCTGCTGGTCTTAATACACATTCTGTGATTAGGAACATAATCCTTGGTCTGATGATTCTGAAAAGCATTCTGCAAGTGGCACTTCTTAGCAAAGACTCTGCTCAAATCTTGGCTACTTACAGATCAGAGGGAAGAAGACATTTCATTTTCCATCTGCCAGGCTATTAAACATTGGCTCAGAACTAGCCTTTTCATAAGTATTTTATCCCCACCTGAAAAACCATGGAGTTTATAGCAGGCAATTAGGCAGTAGTCACTGACGCTTCCTTGTTTTTTTTTTTTTTTTTTTTCTTTTTATAGTAAAAGGGAAAAAAAGGCCTCAGCTTTTGTTGCTGTTGTTATTGTTGATTCTTGTTTTAGAGCAAAAGACCAGGAAACCAACAACCTGCTTCTTTGGAAAGTGGTAGAATGTTCTGCCATAACCTGGTATTCTAGAGGATTTCGAGGCAAATTCTGACCAAACTCACAAAGCATTGGTAAAGAACTGTTGGTTTCAGGAGCTTATAAGACCAGAGCAGATGCCAGATGGGCAGATGGAGGAGGGTGCAGAAGGCAGGAAGATGAGGGGCAAGCTCAGAGAGCCTGCCGAAGATGGGTGAGGGGTGAGCACCAGGAGAACCACCAGGGTTGGTGCAGAATGTCTGTGGGATACACTTTAAGGATCTGACTACAGAGATCATATACAGGTTAGCATGAGCGCCTTTAAGGCAGTACAGATCATCTCCCCAGTCAACACTTCCAAAGCCATGTAGGTATTTGAGCCAAGTAAAGACTGTTTTCTGGTATGATGATGGCCAGTTTCGAGAGGTTCTCAATCTTGACTGCTTATTAGAATCATCAGAACTAACAATACATATGCTCAGGCCCTACCCCAGGCCAAATAGACTAGAATCTCAGGAGAGAGAGCTAACCCATCGTGTTTAATGAAAACTGCCTGTATCTCCTCTGTGACATAGATATGTAAACATTTATCTGAGGCAGACAGCTTCTCTCTAGGAAGATCATTAAAACTTCTTTTAGTTATTCATGTGTCTAAAACACATTTTTTTTAATAAAATGAAATTTATTTCAAGGACTCAGAAGAATATCAAAAAATAAAATTGTCACAAACAAACAAAACAAATAACTGTCATGGGACTTATAGAGAATGAGTTGTCATGTTCCCTTTCTCTCTCCTGCTTTATCTCCTTTTCTCCTCACACTGCAGGACTTCCACATCTTCTATGTTATCTTCATCATATTTTTTTCCTTTAACAATGAGGAAATTGAGGCTTCTAGTTCAGTGATTTGACCAGTCACAAAGCTAATGCCTGGCAGAACACAGATGAAAACCTGGAGCAGTGAAACCCAAGCATGCCTAATGGAGAATTGAAAAGGATCTTGCAGGTCAGCAACATTGTGGTGTTTGACTTTTAGGACTGGTTGGTGAGGATTGTGACTAAAGTATTTTATGGCCACGAAAGAGGATAGGAAGAGGGTTAACATGCTGCTTAAGGCTACCCAGGCAGTCAATAGCAGAGCTAGAGCCAAGACCTACATTTCCAGTCTCTTGGTCAAAGACCCTCCCTAATAATACCCACAGAGGCTATTGTCTCACTAACCCCATATTATCAAGACCTGATAGCATAGTATTACTGCTTTTCATAAAAAGAGCACATCATCACCCCCACCTATCTAGGTAACAAGAATTGTGTCAATTTCCTTATTGTTCCTGAATGAACTTAGAACTTGCCTTTGACACTGCCAGCCAGGTAGAACAATGACTTCCAGGATCTAGTGTGTTCAGGGGTTAGTGTGTTCCCTTCACTGACTCATCAGCTTATGGGCCTACATACAAGTTATACTGGTTATTCAGGGATGCAGTGTCTTGGGCTCCTGAGATTTTTTAGGTGGTCAAGGGGCAGTAAATTGGTGTGCCCCAACTGAAATCCACATAGGAAAGCTTCCGTTTTCTCTCCCTTTCACCCTGGGCGAGACGTTCTCAGGCTCATGGAATGCCTGTTGTACCTAGAATTGGAAGGTGCCAAAAAAACACATGGAATCTGTGCTACTGAGAATTCATTAAATTTGTCTTACAAATCTTTAAACAGATATAAGGCTGGGAGAGGAGCATTCCATTTAGAGGGTCAGAATTAAAGAAGAAAAATAGTTGATGACATTATGCTTATCTTGTTATATTACTTGGGGAAATAAAGAAAAAAAAGAAAACAAAAACCTTCCCAAAGGCATCTGTGGATCATTTCTCTTGTATGTTAATGAGGATCATATATCTTAACACTAGTTTCTTGTCTTATCCTTGCTCATGTTGCATTTCTGTGCATAACAATAACACGAGCGTTAACCCAGCTCTGTGCTCACTCAGGGTTAAATGAGTAAAAACCCAGAGCACAGACTGACAGAGTATTTCCTTTGTCACAGTCAGAAAACTCAGTCCTGGGTTGTGAATACTAGATAGTATTTAATTTTATGGCAAATGTATTTAATATCATATTAGGGTGAAAAAAATCTGGAACCTACTACTGATATGTACCATGACTGCCAAAAAAAAACAGTTAAATACATATACTTGTGTGTGTGTGTGTGTGTGTGTGTGTGTGTGTAAATGGGTAATACAAACTGGAAGAAAACTGGCCAAAAGGATCATTTAAACAAATGGAATTTTCTAATATGAGAAAAATAGTAATATTCTGATACTAGAATAACAATGAATGATTAATGATAATTAATAACTATTAATAGAATAATGTTAGTGTCTCTTGTTGAAGATAACTGGGGGTCTATTTGGCCCTTTCTATGAGCACATAAGATCCAAACAATTTTTTAATATAATTCTTTTTTTTTAGATTGACAGAATATTCATGTGCTTGCCAATAAGAAAGAAAAAGGAGAGAGGGAGAGAAAAAGCCTTGTTCAATAGGTTGTGGTGATGCTGGAATCCCTTCTCTTCTATTTCTCCATTCTGTCAGGATTTTGTGCAGGCACATTCAGGTGCCCAGCATGTTTGTCAAGCCCCTGGGGTAGAGATTTGAACCAGGGTTGGCCATGTGGGATCTAGCTTCCTTAGCCACTAGCTATAGGATGGCTTGTTTTTATGTGAACAGAAGACTAGAACAGGAGTCAGAAGGCCCTAGACCTGGCCTTGATTTCTAGAGAATGCTGTGTAATCTTGGGATATAAACTCAGTTTCTTCATCTGCTATCTGGATCTTTATTGATGCCTGTCCTAATAGATTAAATGTGAAGGTATCATATGCAGAAAGCCCCAGAACAAAGTTGCAAACTCGCATGCCTATGAGACCAGGAAGTTAACCTAAGGGAATGAAGCAGACTGGGTACTTTGGACATAGGTATCCCTCGTTCTGTCCCATATGGCCTCATCCTCACACACTAGTGTTCTACTGCTTGTGTCATGGCTGGACCTAAAACTTATTTTTGGTAATCACCAAAAAATACATTCTCCCATATTTTTCAAATGCACAAGCCTTATCCCCCCTCCCCACTTTACAGAAACATGGGCATAACAAATATCTCTTTCTCTGAACTGTATAATTGGAAAAGCATGCCTAATGAGCATGCCACTGGCTCTCAGCTCAGTGATGGGAATAAACAGAAAAGGGGAAGCTGTCATGAGCTGAGGATCGCTTGTCCCATCTAAGTGGTCTGACCTCTTAACTCAAGCCATTTGTGCCATGAGGAAATGCTGACTAATCATGCAAAATGTTTCCAATTCCCTATTTAAAGGAGAAGCCAGGAATATATACATTTATGTGACATCTGTCAATTTCTAAACATTGCATATTTCAAATTAAGAATCATATACACCCATACAATGTGAGGACTATCTCTATATGTGAGGCCAAGGGCCACGGTTTTGAAAGCTCTTCAGGGTCCATATAGTCTTCTCTTTTACATCCCAAACCTTCTCCCATCTCTTCCCACCACAGGACACTTGCAATTCAAAGGGAAAAAGGCAGAGACTTACTATGGAGCTGCTAAAGGCCACAGGAGGCTGTGGGCTTTCCCAGCGCCCCATGGACCTTTGACGAGAGTGACCCTGGATGGGCACCCGAGCACTCTGGCACCTCCTCAAAGACTGAGAACCTCCTTGGCCTCTCAGAGTTGCTGGACCATGGGCCCATCTGACGGGGAAGGACAGGCATTGATATTGGGTCCACTCTTCACTGTCTGAGTCTAGCTCCTTTGGGGTCTCCAGTCGCTTGGCTGCAAGAAAGGAGTCTTGTTATTGTCCCAGTCATATCTTGGCTGGACCATGTTTGGGGAGATCCTAGTTTTTAGGGGTGAGTATAAGACCATGAGAAGTGCTTATGCTGCTCTGAAAGATTGGCAATGAATACTGGAGAAAATAGGGTGCAACTAAGTCACCCAGGTTCAGATCCTGGCTATACCCTGTGTTACAATGACTTATGAGCATTGACTTAACTTGTGTCTCTATTTCCTTAATTAAGGGTGTTTTAAAAAGTCCAAAACTCAGAGGGTTGCATTGAAGACTTAATGATATATTAAAGTGGTTATCTTATTCTAAGTACTAGTAATGGTAACTGTTATCATAAAAAGAAGAGATCAGAATCTCCTACAAAATGGTTAACTATTGGGTTGTTTGGAAAGTCATGATGCATTTTTACATGCAAAAACACATCCTGACTTTTCCCTATGACCCAATTATTACCATCACAAAGAAAATAGGGCTGCCTAGAATATCTCCTTTCTCTTTCTCTATCCTTCCCACCCAGAAGAATGAATGCTGTTCTCTTGAGAATTTCTTCTCTTCATTAGAAAGTGAATGTGTGTCTGTATTTTACTGAGTGGGAGCGGGGGTAGAGGGTGGGAGTGGGGAGCTAGTGTGACCCTGAGGAAATCAGGTCAGTTTTATCAGCCATCTTCATTCAGTTTATGCAAGATAACAGTCTACACATTTTATAGCCATTATCTCCGGAATCAAAATTTGGTCTCCGTGAAAATCTAAGAAATCAGTTAGCATGGAAGACATTTTCTGGATATGTCAAATCTGACCGTATCCCTATGCTTAGACCTGTCCTGACTTGTCAGATATGGTGATCTGAGAAATTCTAAACCTTGTCTGTATGACTGGCACATAATTAACACAGTTGAAACATGTCCTCAGTGCATTCCTGATGGGCAAAATTCCTGCATTGTAAAAGGTACAGAGATCAACCAGAGGGGTACGATATATGGAGTCACAGATTTTGTGAGCAAATAACTTTACAGGTAATAAGAATAGCACTGATCTGTGATGAGGAAAATTATAGGGATCCAGGAAATAACTTTCCAAAATGCCACACAGTCTTTTTTTGTTTGTTTTGGAGAGATTTTTACTATAAGGTATGTGCACTTGCTGGATAGACAGACAAAAGTGAGAAATCAGTCCCCAGGAGGGGTGGCCACACCCCAGTCCATTCTCCTCCATTCTCCTCTTGGGATTTGAAGCACACAGACACACATGCCCAGCGTGAGTTTCAAGCCTTGAGTTCAGGACTCAAACCATGGTTGGCCATGTGGGATTCCAGGGACCTAACCATTATGCCATCTGCTGATCCTGCCACACAGTTTTTTATTTATTTTATTTTATTTTTTTTTATGGGAGCCAGGATAATGTCTTTTATCTCCTTTTCTCTCAGGAGAGCAGGGCATTTATTTTTGAAAAGAGGAATGGAAGTCCCTGAAAGCCCTTACCATTTTCTTGGTGAGAATACTCGCTGCCCATGATGGTGCAGCGCCGAAACACCATCTTGTTCTCCGTCAGAGTCCCTGTCTTGTCAGAGAAGATGTACTGGATCTGGCCCAGGTCCTCAGTGATGTTGAGGGCTCGGCACTGAATGGATATATCAGTATCTTCATCGTACAGGTCAAGGTCATTGTGTAGAAAGAACACTTGCCCGAGCTTCACCAGCTCAATGGACACGTACAGAGAGATTGGGATCAGCACCTGAGGGGAGATAAATTCTTACCATAATGAAAAATAGTTCCCTGCCTCGGGACCCTCACTAGTGGGTAGCAAACACATTTAATGGAAAGCTAATGTCAGTTCACAGGATAGAATTTTTCTGAGAAATGAAAACTCAATGACTTCACACTTTCCATGGAATTCTTAGGGTAATCTGAAAAAGATAACCTCCTTCATCTAGCAATCTTTTTCACATGGTAGGCACTCTCTATTGGTTGTTGATGACTGAGCTAGAAGGAAGTAGAATTTCTTTTTTTTTTTTGGAAAGGTTTTTAGTATAGGGCACGTGCGCTTGCCAGACAGACAGAGACATAGAGACAGAAAGCGAGAAATCACCCCCCAGGGGGGATGGTCACGCCGCAGTCCCTTCTCCTCCATTCTCCTCTCGGGATCTTGGGCATGCATGCACACGCACCCGGCATGAGTTTTAAGCCACCAGGTCCGGGACGTGAACCGCGGTCGACTATGTAGGCGTCCAGCGACATAGCCATTACGCTAACTGCTGGTTCCCAAAGGAAGTAGCATTTCTATCCATCATTCCTGAGTCTTCCTGGATCTCTGTTCCACCAAGCACTGCCACCTACTTTACAGATACTCAGATCTATTGTTGATTTCTGTCTGCTGATTCGACACCTAATATTTATTGACTACTTGCTGGTATGTCTGATGCTGTTCTAAGTCTTGGAAATGGGAGTCAACAGAACAAAATCATTGGCTTTGAAGGACTCACATTTTAGTGATAGTAAAAAACCAAATAAATATATATAGGGTGGTGGTAAATCTCATGAAGAAGAATAAAGAGAAATGAAGAGGGCATGTGATGTCTGGGAGGAATTTAAAATTTTTTAAAAATTTTTATTTATTTTATTTTATTTTTTATAAGTCATGACTCTTGAGCAAAGACCTGAAGAAATGAAGGTATGAGTCATTTGGTTATCTGTGGGAGGGTCATTCTGGGTGGAGGGAAAGTGAGATGCTGGACAGAGGCAAGAGACGAGGTCAGGGAGGTAATCAGGCTATCAGACCACTAAGGCCTTGCTAGCTGTGGCAAGGGCTTTTGAACACTGGAGGATTCTGTCCAGAGGAGGAGTGTCTTCTGATTCACATGTGAAAAAATCTTACTCTGTTAGATGAGTGAATGAATAATTGAAAAAGGCTCACTAACCAAAGAACCATTAAGCACCCTCAAATATAACAAGAAATCTAATGTTGCTAGAGCGTCACCACACTAAAACTAAAACTTCCTTCGTCTTTTCATAGATTTATTTTTTAGGGAACAGGAAAATATTTTAGTCATCTTTTTTTCCCCTTACAGTTTGTAGGTGCTATGTATGTATGTATGTATGTATTTATTGTTCTATATGAGGCTAATTCTCTCCTTTTTCATCTCAATCAATGCTAAAACATTAACTCACGGTCTCTTTCTCTCAAGACTTGGACTTGAGAATTCTTTGTAGCTCATAGTAGCTGCTTTATTTTTCTAGATTTTGTTCCTTGACCATTAATGTTTTATCTGTTCCATATTTGGCAAAGGGACAAGCATATGTAATCTAACTTTTAATAGAAAAGTCTGATAATATTTAACTCTGGCTGTTATCTGTGGGGCAGAGTTCCTTTCACAAGGCAGGTCTAGTCCTGATGTTACCCCAAATGTGAATACATTTGGTCTTCGGCAGCACAAAAGTTAGGAACATCAACCCCCATGCAATAGAAAATCTTAGTGTAACTTTTACTTACCCCCAAACTTAATTACCAATAGCTTCCTATTGATCAGGATCCTTACTGATAACATAAACAGTTGTTAACATGTATTGTGTATGCCATATGTATTCTATACTGTATTCTTACAGTAAGCTAGAGAGAAGAGATGTTATTAAGAAAATCATAAGGAATAGGAAAATGTATTTATAGTACTTACTGAAAAAAGTCCATGTTTAAGTGGGCCCACACAGTTCAAACCTGAGTTGTTCAAGAGTCAGCTGTACTTTCAAAAACAATAAAGCGATAGGCATTTCCTTATCTCAGTTCAGTTAGTTCCTTCTTGGGACAGCACTAATTTTTCTTTATTTTTGTAAAGTCAGAGGGGTACTGGCCACGAGTCTCCTTGGACCCCTAGTTAGGAAAGCTTCCTACCTGGAGCAGGATGATCGCTGTGAGAAACATGTAGAAACCCCCAAGAGCAGGAGGAAGGAAGCGGCCCTCTGCATCTGGCACGTCAAAGGGAGGGTGTTCTTCAAAGGTCCCATTCCAGAGGCTGTGGCCTGAGAAGAGGCAAATTCAGAGATGAAGCAGAATCTATGCTCAATTCTAAAGTTGGTCAATGGACATTAGTCCCTCACCCATTCTTGAATATGGCTGAACTTTGGAGGAGCTCATCCTGATTCCATACAACACAGCTCTTTCTCTCTCTCTCTCTCTGTGTGCGTGTTTGTATGTGTGTGTGTGCACACATGCATGAATTATGTTCATTGAGTTCTTAAATTATCTTTGAGGTACTCTGTTTCAGTTCTTTGTTAGGCATTGAGTCTGTTTCACCAGAGGAGATTAGCATGGGAATTATTACATTTAATGAAGTCCTGTTATAAAAGGGTTGGAAAGAGAAAATGTGACTTGTGTTCTTAGTTACATGGTGGAAAGTTCATGGCTGGGGAATCTTGACGGACCTATCCCTTATCTTCCCTCTTCCCCTTTCAGTACCCATCTATGCATCCTCCATCCATCTACCGCTCTATTTCTCTGTTTACCTGTTTATCTGACCTGTTATCCAGCATCTATTAATTTATGAAGGAGTCAGTCTTAGTTCTTGTTCTTGAGATGTTCTCTACCAAGTTAGGGAGCCAGACATATAAAAGCAAATCCCATATCATGTGAGATGCTATGCCAGAGCCTGGAATGCTTTGAGAGCCCATAGCAACAGCACCAGATGCAGACTGAACTCTCTTTTTCCTTATCTGCAAATAGAATAATAGCACTGTCATCTGAGGATTATGTAAGATGAAGTGCCCCCAGTACCTGCTATAGAGATCTCTGAACCTCAGCATCCTCATCAGTGAATTAGTAATAATATCTTCCCCTTTTGGCTCTGACAGGTCTCGAAAAACCTGTTTCAGTGCAGAGGCAATAGTTCCTTCAGTGTCTCTGAGGGCGCATCAGATAAGATGGAGGTACTTTGCTAGTTTGCCTGCTTCCCTCTTGGCTCCAGGAACTCTCCTTACAGCTGTGAGCCACAGCCACCCTTGTGTGGAGTGCTATTAGACACACCTATTAATTAAAAACCCCAGGCAGCACAAGACTAACTTCCTTTGTTTTCACTGTAGTGGAATCCAAGCTCCTCTGAGCTCCAGGAGTGGCTCACCCATTCAGACACTATTTTTATTTTATTTTATTTATTTTTTTGGCCAGAGAATGTGTATGCTCACCAGAGAGAGAAGAGGGAGGGTAGAAAGCAACCCCCTCCACCATGGGAAATGGCTATTATGTTACCCCTTCTCCCCTATGTCTCTCTCCTTTCAGGATTTTGGGCACATGTGCATTGCCAGTGTTTTTCTTAAGCTACCGAGTCTGGACTTGAACCACACATTTGGCCATGTGGGGTCTGGCTGCCTTATCTACCTGGCCACTGAGCTGGCTTAGCACTATCTTTGTAAAGACAGTGATGATTACAGTTTCTGAGTAAGGAAAGTAAAGAGCAAAGACCATTGTTACCCATTCACTTTGGGGTTGGCAAAGGGTTATAGACTCAGAACAGGATCCTTATGTGTTGATTATTCCTACTTCTTTCGAGGATCTCCTTTAGTGTCCTGAGAACTATTCTTATAGTTAGTTAAGCCATAAAAGGGGAGAGTGAGTAAGAGCTTTCGCAAGGGCCCCTATTTGCCTATACTCTGAGTATCAGCTTAAATGGCTCCAAACCTGCCTATCCTGCCTCTAAAACTTGACCCTGCCACATACCTCTTCTGGTGATCGCCTACTCCACTCCACTGGGGAATCAGTGACAGCAACTACCTCTTCAAGAAAGACCTCTCTTTGGTGCTCCCATAATATATCCCATAATAATGTCCCTAGCCCCCAGGATACATTTTAATTCACTGACCCTGTGAATATGCTATCTTAAATGGCAGAAAGGACTTTGCACATGTGACTAAGACATAGATCTTATGGACCAACTGATGGCATGGTGGTTAAGACACTGGACTCCCACATGGCCAACTGCAGTTTGAATCCCAGACCTGGCAGCTTGCTTTCTCCCTTTCTCTCTCTTTCTGTTTCTCTCTAGTGACTATGCATACTCCATAGCAAATTTAAAAAAAAGATGATAAATAAAATAAAATAAATAATTCTCCCTCTCCCCCCAAAAAAGTCTTAAGATGGGGAGAGTATCCTAGATTTTCCAGGTGGAGTCAGTGATGTACTTATGTGCTTGTAAAAGAGAGGCAGAGGAAGATACTGTTATAGACAAGAAAGAGATATGGGCAGATTGGTGTATTATGCTTTAGGATGGAGGAGGGGGATATAGGCAGCCCCTAGAAATTAAAAGAGAGAGGTATAGAGTCTCTTGATAGAGCTTCCAGAAGGAATTGGACCTGTTGATTTCCTTTTTTTGGGAGAGGTTTTTGCTGTAGGGCGCATGCACTTGCCAGATAGACAGAAAGAGACATAGAGACAGAAAGCGAGAAATCACCCCCCAGAGGGGATGGTCACGCCGCAATCCCTTCTCCTCCATTCTCCTCTCGGGATCTTGGGCACGCACACACACACGCCCGGCGTGAGTTTTAAGCCACCGGGTCCGGGATGCGAACCGTGGTCGACTACGTGGGAGTCCAGCGACATAGCCATTACGCTAACTGCTGGTTCCCAAGACCTGTTGATTTCTTCACCTTAATGCAGTGAAAATGATTTACAGAATAAATTTGTGTTGTTTTGACCTTCTAAGTGTGCATTCTTTTTTTCTTAGATTTTTTGCCATAGGATGTGTGTGCTCACTGGAGAGAGAAACAGAGACACAAAGAGAGAGGTGAGAAATCATCCCATAGGGGGATGACCTTCTCCTGAATTCTTGTCCAGGGATTTTAGGCATGTGTGCACACCTCCTTTTCTTTTTTAAAATTTATTTTTAATATAAATTTAATTTATTATTAGTTTATATTTTACCAAAGAGAGAGAAAGGGAAAGTGAGAAAGCAAGTCACCAGGTAAGGGATGCAAACTGTGGTCAGTCATGTGAGAGTCCAGTGCCCCAACCACCACAGCATCTGTTGGTCCCTTGCATATTTTTCAAGCTGCTGAATCCATGATTAGAACTGCATAGTCAGCCTTGTGGGATACAATGCCTTAGCCACTATGCTACCTGCTGACCCGGTATGTGTTCATGTTTTTAAAAATACTGATTTATTAGTTTATTGTTCTTCAGTTCTTCAGTTTGACCAGAGAGAGGCAGAGAAAGAGAGAGAGGGAGAGGGAGAAAGTAAGCTGTCAGGTCCAGGACTTGAACCATGGTCAGCCATGTGGGAATCAGGCTCCTTAACCACCATGCCAACTGCTGGCCCATTGTGTGTTCATTTTTTTTTTTTTAATAGTTGCAGTCAGAAGCTAATACAGTGATACTGGTTGTATTTCTGATTCTGTTGATGTGTTTGGACTTCCTGGATTTTAAAGTCCTAGCTGGACTTTAAGTTTTGAGGGACAGATCTGTTACTGATTCATCTTGTTATCGTCCCATGCCTGGATTTAGTAAATATTTCTTGACAAATAAATGATAGATGATATTTCTAATGTTTGAAGAGCACATACTACTTTCAAGAGATTTTTTATTCACACTTTGATTTCATGGCCTCCCATTCAAGTAGCCAGGATAGGTTTGATTTTTAGGGTTATTTTATGTATGAGAAAACAGAGGCTCAGAAAAGTGAACCAAGTTGTCCAAAGAAATAGAAGATTACTGTGTTGCTGTTTCCTTCCAGAACATTGCTTACCTATAGCTACAATGAGGCACATGAGGAAAAGGAGTCCAATACAGAAGAAGATGTCTGTGTTCATGCGCCGCTCAATCTTGCTGCGTTTATACCTGGGGCCGCTGTTGTTCAGCATGGCTTTTGTTTCATGACCTTTAAGAGAAGAGGAGGAAATCAGTCCTGTGGCCCTATCTGTTCTGCCTCAGGTAGGCTGCTGGGAACAGACTGAGAAGCCTCACATAATTGGTTATCAGGTGTTCACCAAGCAGTCCCTATATGCCAGACACTGTGGTGGGCGCTCATAGAGCTGCCATGCACGTGTTATGCACTCTACACTTCCAGAGCATCCCTCATTTTGTAGCTTATGGATTTGTAGGTTTATTATGACACATTTCTGGCAAGTGATAGATAGTAAGGTGTCTCAAGGAAGGGCGATTTTTTAAAAAGAAATTGGCACAAAGGTACTGCTTTGGCTGTTGTAGATTAGTGGTGGGATACAATGTAAGCAGATAGTTTACATTATGGCTAAGATACACAAGGAAAACATAAATATGATAGTTACTAATAAGGCCCATGAAATAACTAATAAACAATAAGTAAAGAGTTGAGGCACATAAGGGATGGAATTAGAGAATGAGGTAAAGGAAATCCTCTCAGAAGAGGTAGTATTTCAGAAAGCTTGAAGACAGAGAGAACTGGGAGAAGGGAGTGGTAGGCGAGGGGAACTCCGTGTGCAAAGGCCCTATAACATGGCAGTGTTTGGGGCCAGTAGTTCTCATACTTGTTTCTTTGGGTGTTGCCTATGCAAGAGTAGTCGAGGCCAAGAGCTCTGCCTCCAGCATTAATCTTGAGCAGTTTTACACCAATATGAGAGTTTCACTTAAAATTTTGTTCAAAGAAAGGATTACAAACTTTGAATACAACCAATCTCGTCCAGTAACTCCCTTTTCCCAGTTGGGGGAACTGAGGACCAGAGAGTGGAAGGCATCTGCTGAAAGTGAAAGAACAAATGAGCATCAGCAACACAGTAAGAATCCAGGATTCAAATCCCAGTCTGTTTTCCTCCCACCAACCTGAGATATCCAAGAGCCAATAGTCAAACTAAGACTTTGTCTTTAGTCAGAACCTTCCCTTCGGGGTTGCTGAATTTTAACTACTGTGCTATACTGCTTAGCAGTCAAATTAAAAAATGCCAGTCACACATTTTCTGTGCAAAATTAAAGAAAACCAATATATCAGCTGCAGAAATAAATGGCTTTAATACTGTTTAGCTGGTTGCCTTTTAGATTTAAAGTAGCAACAAAACAGTTGGAGTGAACAAACTCTAGGCTTATTAAATTAGACTCAAGTTGCTGCAGTGTGAGAGGTTCTGGCACCACAGTGAGCACAGACCAATAGCACTGATGGGACCATAGGCTTTCTGCCTGCCTCAGGCTCACCCCATACTTGGACTCGGTGAACAACCCCCTTTACCCACCTGTTCCTCACCCTCTTATATCCCTTGGTCTTTGGCAAGAGTTGGGTTTAGTGGGGGGACATTGTGCTATAGTGGTTAAAGAGGGGTTCTAGAGTCAGACAGAATTCAGCTCTGTAGATGCTTAACCTTGAGTTACAAAGAGTTAATTCCAGGAGACATATGACCCTAGGTGAATTAATTCCTTGGCGTGTGTGTGCTTGGGAGAAAGGGAGTGAATAAATATATAAAAAAGCACCTAAATTAGTTCTTGGCACACAGCAAGGGCTTGATAAATGCGTGCAGTGGGGGGCCAGAGGGTGGCACAATAGTAACACAGTGCTCCGTGAGGCTGACCCACATGGGAAGGGTGTGGATTTACAGGTGGAGACCACCCTGAACATGCTGGGCATGTTTGTGCCTACTTTGGGACTGAGTGAATCTGGGGGTGGATTACAGCCTGAAGGCCCTGTTTGGTGTGCTTTCTCTCTCTCACTCATGGGAGAAAGAAATAAACTGAAAAAAAAAGTTTGCTGTGAGGAGCACTGGATCTCTTTCTTCTGGAAAACTCTTTCCACACTGGATGTCTTTCTTCTGGAAAGCTCAACTTGATCTTTTGGGGCCTTTGCTTCTGAGGGTCTCCTATTTTATCCATTGATAATATCAAGAGAGAATGATAATTCCGAACTAGTTGTTTTTTTTACCAGGGGTGATTGTACTTCCCAGAGTACATTTGGCAATGTCCTGAGAATTTTTGGTGATCATGACTTGGTGGGTGGGTGGGGAGGACAAATGGTGGTGCTAAGTATAATGGGGAGAGCCCTGGGATGCTGGTAACATCCTACAGGACAGCCCCATTTGTAAGAAGAATCCTGACCAAAATGGCAACAGTGCCAAAGTTGAGAATCCATGCTCTAGACACTCACACTGAAAACAACTATCAATAGTATCACCCTTGAGCCACTCTCTTTCTCTGCTTGGCTGCTCCTACCCCTGGAGAGTGTATTTTCACTTTTCCTTAATGAACTATCCTTAAGGCAAAAAGCCAGAATCCATGTGCATCTGAGGTGGGTCTAGCCCTGCTCCTTTAACTGGAAAGCCTCTGCCCCAAACCTCTCTTTCTGGCCCACCCCAGTGAAAACCTAGGTAGGAAGTAATGTATAATCCATCACATGACCAGAAACCACCACAGAGGCACAAGAATTTATGGGAAATTAAGAAAACATCTCTCTCCTAAGGGGAAAGAATAGCCCTTCATCATCCACAGACAGTACAATGGAACTTGTGAAAATATCAGATAAAGAATTTAGGATATTCATAGTGACAAAGCTAACAGAGATGCAAAAGAAGAGAGACAACGAACTCCAGAAAATGCAGGAGAAAAGAGACAATGAGTTCCAGGAGGTAAGGAAGTTCTTCCACAATCTAAAATAGGAAATACACACCATAAAAAAGAATCAAACAGAACTGCTAGAGATGAAGGCTGTAATACAAGAAATCAAAACCTCCCTTGAAAGTATTAAAAGCAGATTAGATCTCATGCAGATCTCCAATGTAGAAGATAAAACCTTTGTCCCAGAAAAAGTTAAAAAAAAAAAGACTCAGAAAATAACCCCCCAAAATAAGAATAATATATGAATAATACTAGATACCATTAGATATCTAAACATCTGGGATAATTGGTATCCCAGAAGATGAAGAAACTAATCAGGGCATTAATAATCTAGTCCATGAAATCCTGGAAGGAAGCTTTTCAAACCCAAAGAGGCATTCAAATATCCAGACCAAAGAAATACGAAAATACAAAGGACCCCACGTAGAATCAACCCAAGAAGATCTTCTCCAAGGCACATCATAATTAGATTGACCAAAACCACAGACAGAGACAAGATACTAAAACTAGCTAGAGAAAAACGTCAAGTTACTTTCAAAGTATATCCCATCAGGCTAACATCAGACCTTTTGTCAGAAACAATGCAAGCAAATAAAGAATGGGAAAGTATATTCAAAGTGTTAAGTGAAAAACAATTTCAACCAAAAATACTATATCCAGCAAGATTATCCTTCATATGGGAAGAAAAGATAAAAACATTTTCGGATAAACAAAACCTGAAAGAATTTACCAACACTAGACCAGCTCTTTGAGAAGTTCTGAAGGGAGTACTATACCAGGAAAACTAAAGACAGAAAGGCAAATAAGAGAACAAAAAAATGACCAAGAACAAGGCCAACTTAATGGTAGGGCCAAGTTCTGAAATATCTATAATGATGCTGAATGATAACAGAAAGTTCAGACTACAGTAACACTGCAAATTCAACAAAAGAGAGATTATATGAGACTGAACTGGTGAAATAGAATTCTATGATTTTTTAAAAAATTACTGATTTTCTTCTATGCTTTGTCTTTCAGATTTAAGCATTTTTGTTTTCTTTTGAGTTGTTGATAGGTTCAGCAATTTGTTAACAATTTTTTTTTTGAGAGATTTTTGCTATAGGGCATGTACTCTTGCCAGAAATACAGAGAGAGACAGAGAGACAGAAAGTGAGAAATCACCCCCAGAGGGGCTGGCCATGCCACAATCCCTTCTTCTCCATTCTCCTCTCAGGATCTTGGACACGTGCCCAGCATGAGTTTAAGCCACTGTGTCCGGGACTCAAACCGTGGTTGACTACATGGGAGTCCAGTGACATAGCCATTATGCCAACTGCTGGTT